TCCTTTTAAGCATGATGTTATGCCTGAAGATTTTAGCTTTCACACACACATGTACATGCACATACACACAGGCTCATACAGTAAATTATCAAATATGCACTTACAGTTCAGGCCTCTGTCCTGAAAAATAGCATTTTATATCCAACTGTCAACAAAATTTCTCCATTGAATATCCTATGGTTCTCCTCCCTGGCAAATATGCTCTCCACCCAGCCCTCCTTATCTCCAGTAAGGTAAGCAATCTTACCTTCTCATTTTATAAATAAGTTTTCTTTGTCATAGTAATACAATTTTTCACCACTCTTGAAACTTCCCCATATTTCTTTTTCTTAACTATTTTATTTCTTAATACAATAGACAATATTACTGTGGTTATTCAGTTACTTCTTCATCTCCTGTCTTATCTATCACTTTGCCTAAAACTGCCCTCTTTGTACCATTGATGATAATGCCTTAAAACTATTTTCCTTTCACAAGTGTGATTCTGAATTCATGCTAACCTGATTTTAACACATCTCCGTCTGCTCATTCTCTGTTTACATTAATATCAGATATTCTACCGACACCTAAATAATGGAATTTTCCAAGTTATTTTGAGAAAGTGAGCAGGAGAAAAAGAAAGTGAGAGGAGGAATAAGACAGAGGAGACAGATTTCCTCAGAAGAGACCATCACCCCTACCCACAGATTTCAAAAACTCAATGCATTCTAATAACAACCTCTCCTAGCTCCCGACTCAATCTTTCAAATAACTGGAAATTAAAAAGTTAAAACGGAGTAATATGGAGCATTGTTATGTTCTCATAAAAACCTACTCTGCTTACACAGCTCCCTCTTGCTGTTAAAGGTTGCATCTCTTGCCAATTAACATGAAATAAGATTTGTATTTAACTCCCTTTCATCTGCAATATGTGATAAAATGCTGTTGTATAATCTCGCCTGATAAGCAGCTTCTCCTTCAGTTCCATGCTTCCTTTTCTTTGCTATTGCAAAGACACTGCTCAGTACCCTCATATTCTCTAATAGAGACTCTTATAATAAATAGCCTTCTTGAATTTCTGCCTTTCATCTCTCTCTGCTTGAATCAATCCAAATATTATTAATGTCATGTCAATCAAGTACTCTGTTCAAAACTTGTTCAAGTTCTCCACACTGTCTTTAGAAATAACTTCCAAATACCACTGGCTAGTATTACAAACCTCCACCAATTTGTCCCAGATTTATCTCCCACTGTTCTCTAAGCAATTAGACAAATATCTGCAGGCCCATCCATAGATGACTGCCTCTAAGCTTTTTAATAAAAATATTTTCCTTGCTATAATGATTTGTAATGTTTCATTCCCTCATGTAAAATGACATCAAGCCTCCAAATGATGTTTTGGGAATAAATCTTTTAACTGGTTTTATTGTATGGTCACAAATTCCTCTTATGACATAAAGGTAACATCTCTCAAAATATATTATATATGATATTTACATAATTATATGATAAGTTATCTTGATCATATTTAAATATTTGAATATTGTTGAAATAATATTCAATCATATTAAAAGATTCTAATGACTCAACTATTTCACTTACATTAAATACTTAGGTCTAAGTATATGAGACAAAATATTCATTATCATGCATGTCAGTTCTGCTAATGGTAATGCACCTTGTATGGACTAACTTTTCCATAGACAATGACAAACTATGTTTTTTAAAGAAGTTTAAAACCAACTATTTGAAGGTACTTGAGTTTAGTTAAGAACAGACTGGAGAGTAGTTCAGTTGAGGATATTCTGTCATTTATGTGGCAAGAACTCACATAGAAAGTACAGATTTATCAGCTTTTAGATTCACAGATCCAAGACATAAAGTATATGATCAGTGAAAAATAAGGGGATATATTTAGAAACTAAAGTAGGCACCTTGAAACCTGTGTATAAAGTATCTCCCAAATCATTGATAGATGCCTGAACTACATATGGAAACAGACCATGAAAGTTGTGACTGGAAAATTGAGAAAACTGGCATCTTCCCATTGCAAGGGAAGTCCAGTAGAGTCCAGTCAAACATGAAGCTTCTAGAACAAAAATTAACCCTCTTAAAAATATAACAGAATCCTGAAAACATGTAGTATCTAATGTCAAGTATACAATGAAAATTACTATATCTGCAAAGAAACACAAAAAATCATAGTTGAGAGAAAAAGAAAAACTAAACTGACCTTAAATGATCAGAAAGTAGAATTAGCATACAAGGATTTTAAAAGTCCTATACAAAACATATTCAAGAACTTTAAGGAAAATATAATCATAATGAACAAAAATATGATGAAGTATAAAAATGAAAACTACAAAAAATGAAAGTTCTGGAACTGGAAAGTATAATGTGTGTTTTGTGTATGGAACATTAATGAGTTTAACTTTACAGCATATTGGAGATATAAGCACAGAAAAAAAAA